TGTCTGCTCATCACTTATGGGAGCAGTTGACGGCTTTTGAGCTATGCTCTATAAAAAAGATAAAGAACCACTGAACAGAAAGGAGCTGGTGCCTTCTCCTTGCCAAGTTCCCAGGGAGCGGTGGGGCTGGTCCTGTTTGCTGAGTGTGCACTGTGAGTGGGATGCACTAACTGCCCTGCAGGCCCTGAAGGAAATATATCCAGCAGCAGGAGGTGTTGGGGTGTTCCAGTTAGCATGACAGTTATAGGCTTTGTTCAGTGTCTTCCTGCTCTGCTTTTTTTCCTCTTTTTCAAACAGTCTCTGTCTCGATCATTGTTTAATGCATTTAATTTCTTTTTTGTTTCAAGCGCCAGCCCCCAAGGTTTGTACTGAACTTGTTTCTTCACTTACATCCTTTGGTTGTCTTGGCCATTTGAAAATGGGGAATTTAATTTGCTCTGACGGCCTCTTTCTTTCAGATTTCTCACCCTGGGTAGAGATGCACATGCCCTTGGATTCTCCTAGCCTCTCTGCTGGTGCAGTGGAGGGTCTGGGTGATGTACCCGTTCCAGGCTTTTGACTTTTCCTCCCTCTTCAATATCTTTTTCCCCCTTTTTCTGTTTCCCTTGAGGGGTCATAGTGCTAATGAGCACTGAGACATCCCTAGTGGCTCCCTTTGTCTCTGACATGCGTGGCCTTGATGGCGAGCTCATTAACGCAAACTGTGAAGGGGCAAGTCTTTTCTCAGATATAGCCCTATACAAATGAAATGTATCCCCTTACTGTGACAAGGAGAAAGGCCTGAAATATGCATATCTGCCTCCTTAAGGCAGTAGTTCATCCCTCTATTTCCTCTCACCTCCCTCCCTTCCCCCTTTAGCATTAGCACTTCCTACCCCTTCCAGCCATTAAAAAAGTAGGCTCTTTGGTGCTTTCACCAGACATTAGAGAGCAGACTCCCCTCCGCTGACCTGGCAGGCATTTTCCTGGGTATGCTCCACATTAGCATGGGCTGTCTACGCCGGCGAGACATTAGAGCATAAACAAGTGCCTCTCCCCCCACTACTCAGACGTTAGGTCATAGTTTCTCCTTATCCCGCTTCTGCATCAGGGATACAGACTCTTCCTCCTCCTTGCTAAGAGGTTTATGATCTTTACGAAGCCCTTAAAAGCTTCCCCACTGGCAGAAGTTCAGGTACTTGCTAGGGATTTCCCCTGAGGGTCAGAAGACTCTGTACTAATCCTAACTGTATCGTGGGGTGCCATCATAATCCTGGTCAAGTCTTTGCAACTTCTCCACCTGGAAAATGAGCAAGCAACAGTGCAATATTTCTCTTTTATAAAGAGCCTTGAGACCTGTAGAGGCTTCACCTGTGCTTTCCAGGCAGTGGCACTGAGACTGAGGTGTCACTGATGGTTCTGAGAAGCAATGAAATGGCATCCAAGAATGATTTCTGGGAGGAAAGATTTCAGTGCCCTTTTGCACACATCATCCATGAATCCAAGGCCTTGGTAGATCCTCGAAAGATTCACAGATTCAAGGATTCAGTGATGACAAACAGATGAGAGCATGCTTACCTAGCCCAGTGCCATGGATTCAGTTTTGGCCAATAGCAGCTGCTTCTGCAAAAAATGCAATTAAGTCTAGCATTGAAAGTTAATAGAAAACCTGTTCTTGGAGGTGTTTCTTCAAAGAATTCAGGAGTTACAGGTTGGATCATTCCCTAAGGCCAGAGCTATACTGTTCCCTGTAAGTCTCTCTCTTTTTTTATCACCTCAATAATTCTAAGTGATTTCACTAGCTGTATCTATTAATGTTAAGTCCATTTTCCAAAATTGTACCATTATCTTGGCCTCGGGTGCATCTTACAGCACAGAATTCTATAGGTGACATGGAAGATTGCTAGTATTTAGAGGGTTGCTTTCAATGTAAAATATTCTGGAACTGGAGAAGCCAATACGTATTTGTGGTCATTAATCAGGAAGCTTAACAATACCATATCATTTGCTTGACCAATCCCAACCAATCAACAGCACAGAAAGAGAGAATACAGCGAAATACTATGCAAAACCTTTAAAAAAAAAAAAGCTTGAAAAATGTCACTAAGTAAATTCAAATAATGCATAAATTAGAGGGAATTGCAACTGGCTCATGGATATTCTATGAGCAGAAGATAAACATCTAAGTTAGTTGCATAAATTATTCATCATAACGTATTTGCTCAGCTTTTCTCATCAGCTATGAAAGCCACACATCCAAGCATTTGGAGAGTATAATAGAACTGGGCTTTCACCTCAATGATATGCCCTAGGAGTAGGAAGTCCTGGGGAGGGATGGCATGCATAAGAACTGAGTGGAAAAAGTCTCCTTCACTATGATGTTTTAGATGTGGATGTTGCTAAGGGCTTGCATGAAAGGGGACTGGAATTGTCTCTTGGCAGCAGGCAAGGTTGAAGATATGGCAATGATTTCTTTTAACCTCCTTCTTTTGACTCCTGCCAGTGGTGTCATGAGATGATCTTGGACCTGATGTAAAAAATGAACCCACTTTCCCAACACACTGTTTACCAAATTTTCATTCTCTGTTCCTACCTTCTCCCATCTTTATTGCCCACTGCTTTCCAGTGCATGGTCCAAATTGTAGCTGTTTGCTCTGTTCATCTCCATGCACTGAACTGAGACACTCCTAGGGTTTGGGTGTTGATATATCAGTACTTGATCAGTTGCATGTTTCGACTCTGGTCTTCGCTTTGAGATAGTTAACTTGGCAGTAACAGCAGCAAATTCTCTGTACTTTGTCAGGGAACATAAAGCATTCCCCCAGCCCTTTCTGAAAGCATGCTGGCTCTTGGAGGGCTCGAGTCCCTCCTGACTTTATTGATAATGCTTGCAGGAAGCAGTAATCTGAAAGCAAAAGTGTGCTTGAGTTTTACAATAAGTAATAACTGTCTCTTTGGAGAGGAAGCACAGACAGCATTTTTCCTATGCTTGCTAGTTATGATCTTTATGATAGGAACATGGGAATCTCTATTTATTCTAAAACCTTGCTTGTCTTTTAGCATCCAGATCTGCATGTTCCCATGCAGTGTAACTGCTGAAGGGACCATTCCTTCTTCATGCAAAGGGGATTTGCTTGTATAGTGAGACTTGGGATTGCCACTCTAGTCAGGAATGATTAGAACAACCTCTTTGTAGTGTCAGAGAGAAGCTATCTGTCTACTTTTAAGATTTTATTGATCATTAAAATCAGCTGTGGGACCCCTGAACATACCTATTCCACAGATACTAAGTACTGGACTTTTACACTATTCTGGCACAGCAGAGAAAAAACCCTATATTCTACTCCATACAGTGAATACATGGACATTGATAATGTACTCATTATCTGCAGACAGCTTTGAAGCCAATGGTCTATGTTTTCTCCACTCGTGGTATTAAGATCCTGGTGTATGGGGGTTGTTTTTGTTGTGTTTGGGTGTTTTTTGGCCTTTTGACAGAGGTTTTTCTAGAAAAGACCAGTGTTTCTGCAGATTTCAAGGTTTGACACTAATGACTCTTAGGATGTGGTAAGAGGGGTGTTTTGTTTTGGCATTTTTACTTGGCTTGTGAAAGCCTAGGAGCTGCAGAGAGGGCATTAGCTCAGGTGTAAGGAGATGTTTTGAAGCAAAAAGCTGGCACTTTGCTATTTTAATGAATGCAACTGCTGTTAGGCAGCCTGGGGTGCAATCAAAATAAATACATGCATAATTGCATTAAGTAAAATAACCTAACACACATAAAGTGGACTGGGTATAGAATCAACCTGGAGAAAAAAAGATCTGGTTTGTGATCATTGCTTTGCAACTGACTGACAGCACTTCCTAAATCTGCCTGCATGTCAGGTTCTCTACCAGCAAAGTGGGATTGCCAGCACTGGTTGACACACAGTGATAGAAAGTGCCGCGTCAGTGCCAGGTATTGTCATGCCTATTATTTAAATGAAATTTTTGTCTTAAATCTGAGTTACAGGAATAAGTGAATGAAAAATGTCAGAGAAGCTTGTGACTTGATTATCTGGGAGATAGCTTAAGATGGTGCAGGTGCATTGTAGGAGAGTAGTTATAAATGATATCCTTTCCTTTTAAGAAGGCCTTTCTCAATATTTTTCAAAGGACATTAATAGGTTTCTCACCTTTTAGGTGCTCAGCTGGTGATGTATTTCAGAGGCCTGATTTTTAGATCCAGGTGTACAAGGTTTTCTCTAGGCATTTCCCTCTGTGTTGTTTCAAAATGGATACCTGCAATAGAGCTGCTTTTGCAAACATTAACTTTATTTTTTTCCCAGTTGTTATCAGTTTAAAAGAAGGGATTTGAAAATCACTTTATAGGTTTTTTTTAAAAAAAAAAAAGAAAGAAAAACAAACCCTCCATTTTCATCCTGGCCTCTGTTTATATCTGAATCGATCCTTTTAGATGGTTTATCAAGCGTATTGTTTTTCAAAACGATCTTTTGCTGTACTCTTGGTGCTGAAAGATTAAGATGTTTGGAGAAAGTGAGTTTCCTTCTGCCTTGCTTTCCAAAAGCATGCCAGGAAGGCTTGTGGACATGGGAATATAGCAATGATCAGACTGGTCTAGATCTAGTCTATCTGACCAGCCCTTTTGCTGACAGAAACCAGAATTTGCTGCTTTATGGAGAAGTGTAAGAGCCCAAAGTGTGAGAGGGCGAAAGGACCAGCCTGCTTTCTTTGTAGAGAAATGCAGCCTTCTGCCAGACATCTCTGGAGACTCTGAGGCTACCTCCTCATCAGCCCAGATGTGTGATCCTCAAAGTGTGTTGTTATTGTGCAGTAACGTCTCGCTTTTCCTCTTCTCCTCCCCCTCCCCCTCTGTCTAGCCTTGTGGCCTCACGTGTGTATCCATGTGGCGGTATCCAACAGGATTGTCCCCTTCATCATCCTCCTTCCCTGCCCTCAGTGGCTCTCCCTGCCCCTCTGGACTCAAAGCCTCACCCCTGTTGTGTTCCTGTGTTGTCGCATAGGGAGTTTGCCCGTTGGAAGGTGAGGAACACAGCCATCGAGCGGAGGGACCTGCTCCACAACCCACTGCCCCTGATGCCTGAGTTTCAGAGGAGCATCCGCCTCCTGGGCAGGAGACCCACCACGCAGCAGTTCATTGATACCATCATCAAAAAGTACGGCACCCACATCCTCATCTCTGCCACCCTGGGAGGTAGGTGGCAACCTGGGCTGCTTTCTTACACGGGTGGTGTCGGTGGGATGGCGAAGGCGCTGGACGGCACCTGCAAACCACGGCTGTCCTGCGTGGACCCCGGCTGGTAGCACAAAGCCAGGCTGCAGCTCCCCCCACCACAGCCTGTCACATCGTCAGACGGTGTGAAAACCCCCAGGGTACAAATAGCCTTTGCAAATGAATTCACGGCGCGATGCGGGTGAGTTTGGCATCTGTGGTACGTGTGCACCTGTGCTCCTCTGACAACAGCATGTGTGTACTGGTGTGCATCAAGATAAAGATGCTTCATTTAGCCGGGAAGCCTGTCTGTCATTCCTGCACCTCTGTCCTTAATTTGACAACAGAATGTGTTGATACCTCTTTTTTTCAGAATGAAACTAAATGCAGGGGGAAAAGCATTCTTTCTTGCTGGAACTGGAGGAATTTTAAAGAGCTCCAGGAAAAGGGAGTTCAAGGAGTTGGGTATGGAGCATGTGCAGCAGGGGAAGAGACGGCCAGATAGGCCTGTGCAGAATGCATAAGTGAAAGCAGTAACATGGGGTAGACTTCTGAAAAAAACAGTAGTTAAGTAAAATTCAAAATGTATATGCAAGGACTGCAGAGAGGTTTGTGTGTGCAAGCAGAATACGTCGGTGATGACATAAGACAGAGTACTGTAGGGCCATTAACCCATGAGCATGCACTGCTGTTGGTGCTGCATAAACGTTTCAAATACTGAGTATTGAAAACAGGAGGGGTGAAAATCAGCAGCTCCTCTTGATATTTGCTGCTGATTTTTTTTTCTCTTGCATTATTTTTACCATTCTTTAGCCCATTGGAGTGTGCATTTAAATGTCTGTCTTTTGAGAACTGCTATTTCTAAGAGGAATTCTGCAGTGGTAAAAGGTCTTGATTTTAGTACAGAGTTTGTTGCTGTTGCTTCTTCTAATGTACTTGACCTCCAGCCTTGCCACATTGCTAAGTCTGTAGTGAACTTTGAGGAATTTCTGGCCATCTGTCTGTTCTCAAAGCATTCTGCAGACTCTAGGATGAGATGTAGAAGAGATTAGATGTGTGCATATGATTCATGCAAAATGAGGTGGTAGGTAAATTGGCTCAGTTCCATTGAAGTCAAATGACCTCTCATGTGGCAAATGTCCTTCAAAGATCCTCAGGATGCTCTTCCAGTCCAGGCACTCAAACTGTTCACTCCATCAGCAAGAAATGTGAGAGAAAGCAGGTTTCCATGCATTGAAGAGTACAACAGACTGACTGCATCAGGCCCTAATGAAGGCTGCATAAAGATAAATTCCTTTTTATTGAAGCCATAGTTTTTCAGGATCATATTTTACAGAGCCCAAGCCAGCCAAGTAAGAATCCAGTAAAGAGAGGGTTTTTTGTGGGTTTACTTTTCTTTCCATTGACATGCCTTTTTCTTCTTGCCACTCATATCTGTGGAATTTCAAAATAAGACCTTTGATGGTAAAATATATTTTTAATTTTGCCTGGGTGAGGTTGTGAATTATTCACAGGGGCTTGTTTCTTCTCCTGATTTTACAACACAACAGTTTTAAATATGCAGAGGCTTGTAACAAGAACTGTTGTTGGAGGGGAGTGCTAAATGCTCCATCAGCCCAGAGCATGGTGAGCAATGGTAGGGGAGAAAAGAAGGATTTATCTTGGCAGTGGCAGTCCCAGAGAAAATGTAGATGAAGCTGGGCATGCATTATGCAAGGAGGACACACTCTAATCTAATCTAGTCTGTGGGCTAAACAAGACCACTGAGATATAAAACCAGCCATGTCCTGGCACCCTTGCTCTCCCAAGACCTCATGTCTCCTCAGAAAATTTACAAGAATTCTGCTTTGGATTACAGTTGTTTGTAACTTAGCCTGATGTCTTACTAGGTTGCAAATGAGTGACAAACACACAGGAAATTGTTTTGCTTTTAAATGCCAGCTGTTGCATGGACCCCAGGAGGATGGGTGATGGATCAGGCCAGCCCACCTGAATACAGCAGCTATTTTCACACCTGGCCACTTGAGGAACAGCTCTGATGCCTTTCAACCTACAGAGCAGCTGGGTCTCCCTGGAGCCTAATATAAAACTAGCTCTGCTCCAGTTTAGTTCTGACAAAGGGATTGGTGAAGGGTCACTTTGAGGGCATCTGTGCTCCGGGATGGAGCACACAGAGCTGAGAGCCAATTTGCAGGGAAAGCCCTGAAGGAAAGACAACTTTGAACATAGCATCTGCTTAATAAACGAGAAATTAAGACTTAATAATGCAGCAAAAGTCTATTAACCTCTCTTGATCTAAGGGTTGCTTTCTCATGCGCACTCTCCATGGGGATGCTGTGCTTTTCCAGGTCTGCACACATGTACACAGAATAGGTTTCCAGCATTATTTCTGCTCAGCACCCTTCACTCCTAGGGACAGTATTTGTCCCTCAGGAGAAGCATCAAATATCTTGGGCTTTACTTTCCTGGTTTTTTCTCTCTTCCTCCCATTGGAGGGGTCCAAACGCCTCAGGGAGGAAAAATGACAGCTTTTATGGGGAAATCACTGATCTCCACTGCCCTAGAGCACAGGTATCTCCTGTCTGATGTCTAGGAGCTGTCTCAGCTGCTCAGTGCCTCCAGTCTGGAGACTGAAAGCTAGTGGTGGATCTCCTGGTGATCTGAAAGCAGTGTTATTGCCTGATGCAATTCAACCCACAGTTCCTGGTTGCTCTCCATCCAAGGGATCTCCAGTATCAACATTCCTCTACTAAAATGAACTGGTCTGGACTGAAAAGGTCCTGATTTTTGTGCCTTGGCTATTAAAAGAAGGTGTGATATTTTTCCAGAAAAAGCTGTTTTTTCTAGTTACTGGTGGAATTGAAGAAGAGTTGATACCCGGATCCCACAGGTTCCTCTGAGAATCGCAGCTAAGGGGAGAATTATCCCAGGTCTTCCCTCTCCTTTCACAGCCTCGTGAAATGGAGGCAAAGCATCATTTACATCTGCTGCATCTCCATGCAGATAAATACTTCCATTACATGAGAGATACAAAACTTTTGGCTCAAAATACAGCACTTTCACACTGATCTGGCCTATCTTCCCCCAAGCCTCTTTGCTAACTCCCATGTAAGCATCCTTTCGGTGACAAACAAGTTGCCTCATGAAAAGTCACAAAGTCTGACCTTCCTTCAAATCCCTCTGTAAAATTCACCTCAAAGATGAAATTTGAAAATGCATCAACAGCAGCCAGGCATCTGGTGTGCAGTGACCACTGTTTCTCACGCTAATCACGGTCATCTTATTACCTTGTGCTTTGCTGGCTGTTTGTTGTGTACACCTGTTGTGTCTCATTAGATCCGTGAGTTTTAAATCCTCTGGGACAGGAACCACCTTTCTGCTGTTTGTGTGGATAGAGCCTGATGTGACAGAGCCTTGATCCCTGCCGAGGGCTCCTCACACTGCTCAATGCATAATAATGTTAACGATGATCAAGGAAATCAAAGCTGGTCATTTTCCAGGGAAAGTGTTTTTGTGAGAAGTAACAATGATGATACTGTTACTACTACAACTTTGATTGTAGTCAAAAGATAGTATGTTATTTTTAACAAAATATTAAAGGGATAAAGTTTTACATGCCAAATTTCTTCACTTAGCTCCTGTGAAGCCAATTAAAAGATTTCAACTGATCAAGTCTTTGATGAAAAGTATCTCTTTTCCACCAAAAATTTCCATTTTTCATCTGAAAGCCAAAGGCTCAATCCTCAACCCTCAACATATCAATCGCTTGAAAAACTGAAATCCAATAAAAATATTTTGATTTTCAGCCAGAATATTTTTGGTTTCTTTTCAGGCATTTGGCTTTCAGATAAAAGCTGGAAAATTTCCAGGGAAAGCAAGAGGGAGGGCTTACTGTTTGGGGGGTTTTTTTTGCATGTATGCAATTAAAGACATTATTTGGACAAATCAAATTATTTCAGCTAATACAAATTTTTAAGAAAAGTAAGTGCTTGTTCTCTTAAAAAGAAGAAAAAAATCCGCAAAAATGCTGAAGAGCAAAATATTTCTTGGCCTAAAAAGTGGTGGTGCATTTTTTTGACCATGCTATCATTGCCAGAGGCAACATAGTCATCAGTGATTCATCTATCAAATCAGAACAAGTACCATTCTTCTCACTGAGAGCTATGTAGAAATGGCACATTCCTACACTAGGTATCTATTCTCTTCATTTATTAAAATCAGAACTTCAGATGTTAAGAATGCAGGATGGTATTCTACCTTTTTACTCCTTCTATAATGCCAGCCTTACGTTAAGGATGAACTGGATTTTGATGTGGCTCGTACTGCACAAGTTGAACATTTAGGTAAATATTACTTCTCAGCTTCATGTCCTTTTCATGTATCTTTTGTTAGATTCAGGTTTCTGCTAATGTTTAGGATGTTTGGTACTATCAGGTCTTAACTGCTTCACTCCCAGATTCTCTGTATTACTGGCTCAAAATCACTTGTTGTCTCTTATCTTGCACAATATTTTTTGCTCTCCACTTAAATTCACTGAATGAGATTTTAGGAGAGGAAAAAAAAGCAGAAAGTGTGGTTGGTTTAACTTTCTCATTTGATCTTTCCTCTAATTGCTCTCCTTCACTCATCACCTGCCATTACCCTTTTGCATGGTCACTGGAAGCTAAAGAGGTACAACTAGCACTTGTTTGTCCTCTGTACCCACCTATGTACCTGTGTCCTGTTTGCAACTTAAATCATCATTTGTTCCTTCTAGAAATCAGGTCAGGGAGAATTACATCAAAGTGGCATCTTCTCTGGTCAGCTGTGCATCATTCCAGAGGCACTGCCCACAGAGAAAAGCGTTCCTCAAGTGGGACAAATGGTCTGAATCCTTTCCAACAGTTGTGATAAAGCTGTGCTGGCTAATAAATATCCAAAATGTTATCTACTTAATTCAGTGGAGCTGATCTACAAGTGTGGTGGACCTGGCCTTTCTGGATGAAGAGAGAAGGAGGCTCATAAATACTACACTGAGATTCTGGTACTGGTGAGGAAGGGTGGGCTCATTTAAGAGTGCTTTAGGTGTCAGACTTTTCTTTCTTTAGGTGCAACGTGTGACATCATGTGTTCCTGTTAAGATGACCCTACATGGCAGCCTCCAGGGCCTTACTGAAATCTCCTTTTCTTTCTGCTGCAGGAGAGGAGGCCTTGACCATGTACATGGACAAAAGCCGCCTCGACAGAAAGTCAGGAAACGCTACCCAGAGCGTTGAAGCATTGCACCAGCTTGCTTCCTCCTACTTTGTAGACCGTGATGGCACCATGAGGAGACTCCATGAGATCCAGATCTCTACCGGAGCAATCAAGGTACTGTATGTTGCTTTGGGAAGAGAAAGAAGATTGTGTGTCTGTGTCAATACTGTAGGGATTTGGGGCAGGACTTTGAGAGTCCAGTGTGATGTCTTTTTTGATCACAAGTTGTTTTGTTCCCGTGCTCATTTCCCAGGGTAAGTTGTTCTCTTATGGACCTTAGTGAAGAATTGATTTCCTGAGGGCCAGTAATATCTGGAAAGAGGTGAGCATTCAGTGTGATGGTTATGTAGGATAGGAGACTTCCATTACATGTGGCAGAGACCTCTGGAAGGGAGAGAGGGAACAGATAATCCAGATCAGCCATGGAGGTTGGAAGGGAAAGGCAGGTCTGTGAAATGGGCAACCCCGTGCAACCCAGAAGTATTTTCCTTTTGTGGGTGTAAGACTGCTAAACATCTCTTAGATGAATTTACTACAAGAAAAGGTGAAAAACTCAGTGTGGTATTACTGAGGCATCTGGAATGAAAACAGACAGAGAGACAGCTTGGGGGTTGCAGCTGGAAGGAACGGGAGCTGCTCAGAGCATACAAAATAGGGAAAATGGCTCTGCAAACAAAGGCTGCCTTCTCTGAAAGCAATCATCCTATACTGGGGAGGGATTTTGTTGTTGCAGAGCTCACTCCAGGGAAGGCGATGTGGATGGAGTTGTCATTGTTAGCCATTTCTGAAAGGTTTCAGCACTTGTTATTGTTCTGTGGTGTCTCATGGTTGAGTCTGTTCCCTTCTGGATGGGAAATTGAATTAAGATATTGAAACAGTGACAGCAGATAATCACACTTTGTGAATTCAGGAAGGGCAGCTCTCCTCCATGGCTGGAAACCAACAGCAACAACTGCAGCAACAGCACTGCAGGTCATCTGCGCTGCCATCTATCCTCAGCACAGGGATGGTGTGCACGTATGTTGTGGGAGCACTAGGCACCATTGTGGGCTGGCAATCCATCTCTGTATCTTGCTTTCCAATAAGAGAAGCCAGGGAATAATTCCTCTACTGGCTTCTGATGTTCTCCAGTGGACATCCTCTGAGAAACATCAATCTGGAGGACCTCATTGCCAAGCTCAGAATAACGTGCAGCACCATAAAGAAAGCAGATACAATTCACTCTATTTTTTCAGCCTGGGAGTGTGCCAAACAGCAGCCATGTCTGTCCAGTATGGGGCATTTTTTCCCAATTAGGGAAGATGCATTTTGGATTGCGTCAGTTGGTGACAAGGGGTTAAGAGGTGTGAACCTGCCTGGGGAAGATGTGATGCTGCAATCAAAGGGAAAACTCTCTTTTCTACATCCTCCATAGGTAACAGAAACTCGGACTGGCCCCCTGGGCTGTAACAGCTACGACAATCTGGACTCTGTGAGTTCTGTCCTTCTGCAAAGCACTGAGAGCAAACTCCACCTGCAAGGTAGGGCACAGGAATGAGGGAGATGGTAATAAAGGGCATGGAGTGGGAGGATGAAATGAGAGAGGGCTGGCCTTTCTTCTAGCCTTTTACCCTCCTCTGTTTGCTGTGATCACCTTCTGTACTGTAAGTTCCCTGAAGCAGGACCAGTGGCTTCTGGTGGCTTCATATGATGCTCAGCACAACAGACCCAGGGCTTGACAGGGACTGAGCTAAAGGCTCAAGGAACTGCAGACTAGACCCCAGCGAAGTGTCTGGGTGCCCCCTGCCATTGAATTTTGATGGCCTTCTGTGTATTATACATACACCAATGTAAATAAATGTAACCTTTTCCATTAATATTGAAGGGCCATTCTGTTCACGTCTCTCTGTCCCTCACAAATTGCTGATTTGCGTAAGAGGTTTGCAGATCAGCTTTTGGGGCTCTCTAATGACCGTAATCTTTGGGAAAAGTCAGAGGTTTTATTTGGATGCTAGAAGCCATGGCTTCAGTCCCAGTTGGGGAGCTAGTCCAGAAGTCAACAGATAGAGGTCATGACTGAATTAATAAATAAATACATGCTGGTTAGCAAGAAGTCAACTTCAGTAGAAGGAGGAAATTCACTGGGCGTGTAATTTACTAAGGTTATTCCCAAGTTTTTGACAAAATAAGGAAATGTGGGATTTAATTGCTCATTTGCCCAGATGGTTTTATTTCTGGAATCCTTGTACTTGCACAAATTTTAATTTTTCAGATGAATGGGCTACATTACATCTTCCGCTTTGAGTATAATTTGGCAAGTGCTGTTTTAATCTTGGTTTCACAGAAACTGGGTTTCATTTACAGAGTCATGTTGTGGATATATTATTATTGTTGTTATTATTTGCCTTTAAAAATAATAGACAGGTTGTTTTCACTATTCCGGTGATTATCTAAATCACTGAGTTCTGGTTCTTACCTAATTAACAATAAACAATTTGAGGCTTTTTATGTACTGCGATAATGGCTGCTGGTAATGAAGACCCAAGGATGACACATCAGATAACTAGATAAACAGCTAAATAAGCAGACAGCTTGCTTTATAGGCAGACAAACTGGTAAGTAGGTAAATCAATACATCTCTGTTGGCTATCTGATCCTACAAGAGAAGAGAAAAACCAAGATGCCTGGGAAGGGGGAAGGAGGGGGAGAAAGAGGGAAAATTTGAGAGAGAGGGGATGTAAGGTAGATGAGGCTGTGATTTCTGATGGGAGCAGACAGGACCTCAGGGGTCAACCACACGTGGGTTTCATGGAGTTCATGGCATAACCCAGCGCAGAGAGAGGCCAGACCCAAGCCAAGGGAGACAGTGAGGGAAGGGAGGAAGGTAAGAGCTCTTCCTAATAGAACAAAGTGACCTTTAAAGCGACACCTGAGTGTTTTCTGCCTAATCTGGAGTGCGGTTCTTGGGATAATTACCCAGGATCCTTCCTTTGCTCTGAGAGGCCTCATTAGGAATTAGTCACAGGGCTGCAGGTAATGGATCGTGACCCAGTCTCCTCTGATCTGATTAGCAGCCGAGCATGAGCTGCTGACAGAAATCCATGTTACTACCTTCATGTCACTCTGGCTCTGAGGCCAGCTCAATAAAAGAGCAGCATCTTCGTGACAGGGAGAATTTCTGTTTCTGAACTTGCTTGCTGCCACCCAGCCCTGAGCATTGGGGTTTCAAAGACATGCCCTTTAGGAGATGCAATGGCCAGACTCAGAGCTAAGCTACCTTCATGCCTGCACGTAGGGTTTGGGAAGGTCAGCCAGCCTGGAGATTTAGGGGAGGACCTGGCTGCATGCACGGTCCAGGGTGTCTGGTTCTGCACCTGTGCTTACATGGACAGAAAAGCATCACTAATTTATAAACTAGTATCAACGTGGACCCAGCATGCATGTACATCTATGTCAGATGCCTGCACTGGGGTGTATATACAGGTACTCTTGTCACGGTAGCTCGGAAGGTTTCCCTTTTTCCTAGCAGTACCTGGGGGCAGGTTCCCTGTCCCATGCATGGGGAGGGCTGTGTGGTGATGCAGCCTCCCCACACAGGACTGGGGGGGGCCTGTTGTGGGCCAGGATTTCACAGGTGACTGCACTTATTTGCACTTCGTATCCTCTTGTCCCTGTCACTGGCATGAAACCGTCCCTTCAGCTGCCTCTGCCTCCAGTGTGGCTGATGCACAAGCTGCCTGTGCTGTCTGGAAAAGGAGTAAACCAGAGCATGGGAGGAGAAGATGCTAATAGCTCTACAGCAGTCTGGTGGGGAACAGGAATTTGTGTTCCCTGGAAAAGTGTCCTAGGCTGAAATTTGAAAAGTTGAGTGGAAAAAAAAAAAGGAACATTTTGAAATGTTTGGGGAAATTAAAATTCCAGAGACAAATCCTGTTGCACAGTGCAACGGTATATGTCAGTATTGCAACATGGCACTATTTCCGTAAGGTGAAATCCTTCTGTGCTATTCTAAACATTGTGACATTAAACAAAATATTGTATATTCGGTAGCTTGTTACGTCAAATATGGTAATAGACTATTAAAATTTACATTACAATTAATATTAAAGTCTTTGCCAAGGTGGGCAGAGCAGTAATGACAACACAAAACACTTCAGCTTTTCAGTGAAACAAAATGAGGAAGTATGAAAAATACATTTAGACCTTTCCCTGTCAAAAGTGCTTTTGGAGTCAACATGCTCTCTCAAATTGCTTCAATGAAACTGCATTTTCAACAGAGAACTCTTCTGTGGAAAATGTTTCAAATAGCTCTAATTTAGAGCTGGGGAAATTTACCTCTTTTAATGCAGGAAGCCTTTTATATACAGTCCAAAGCCAAACATCTCTCTGTAATAGTTTTTCTAGGTGAATTAAGGACATGTTCCCTTGTCAGACAGTTCATATTCTGCCTGTAGTTATCTAAGAAAAATGTATACCAAATCTGTGCTGTTCTTAATTTTTAAAGAGGATCTTTATGCTTTACAGAGTGGCAGAATTCCTCCTTGTGATCAATAAGTTACCTTCAAAACTAAGATATTCTCCCTAACACTCATCGCCAGCAAACTTACCTTCTGCATCTATTATCAGCTACTGAGGCTGCTGTGGAGGATGAGCCCACTCCTTGTGCATCCTGGCTTGGATTGAGGTGTTCATCCCATGAAAATGGTCTAGTGTCTCAGTTTTTAAGACTAGGTTGCCCCCCTGCTTGGCTGCTGACATGAGGTTGCTTTAATCAGTAGGCAACACAAAGATTAAAAATGATTCTTTTCTTAGTGTTTGCAACATTCAAAGAAATTTCTTAGAGAACAAAACAGCATCTGGGGATGTTTTTTTAAGGTTGTGGCTGGCAGCGGGGCTCTCCCAGCTAGCATGGCAGGCTGCAAGATGCTTTGTGGGACTGGTGTGCTATACAGTCCTTGGGACTAGAGCTTTCCTGCTTTAAAAGTGGCAACTGAAACACCCAGAGCAGTGGTCTCAACCAGTACGGCCGCCTTACAATCTCATGTTTGTAAAGATTACCTTAACAATGATTAATCACACCTGTGCTTTACTGACAGCTGTAATCAATTCAGTTTCAGCCATATTTAGGCACTGGGCATGGTATGGAACTACATATGAATGAGGAAGGTACCAGGACTGAGTGAGATGCTACTGGCCCAGTACTTGTAAAATACCTTTCTAGGATCTGGTCACAAGGATGCTCAATACAAAATCAAAAATATTTATATGAATTTGCCCTTGTCTGGGTATGATGTTAAATGTGTGGGTATTTATATATATATGTCAAAGTACAAATGTGAAAGCAGGCATGGTTCTATTTCAGTAACCCTAACACTGATTTTTTCACATGGAAATTCCTGGCTGGAAGATCTGAGTCACATGTAATCCCTACAGCATGTTTGCAGTTTTAAAGTTAGAGCTTTGCATTTGGTGTATGCACACTTGTGTTTCAAGGAGTAGCTGGATTTGTGTGTCACTTGTGCTCCTGGTCTAAGCACATATTTGAATATGTGCTGCCTGTTAAATGCTACAATTAACTGCACGGATTCCATCCGAACTGCTTACCTGATTAAAGTTAAGTTAGTATAAGTGTTTTGTTGAATTAGTGCTAAGCGTACAGGGGGTCTGATTACCTCTTAAATGTGAGATTATTTCTTAGCAAAGTTATCCTGGAAATATTTTTTTAGAAACCTTAAGTTTTATGGGGAAAAAAGCAAGCATCCACATGTGGCACTCTGCAGTGTCAGATGGGACCATGTTATGTTCTGGAGATTACAGGGTATTCATGTTTCTGCATGTGCTGAGATAGACAATGGATGTCTCTTGCAATGGGGAGTGCTTTCCCTGAAACTTTAGTTGCTTTTTTACCCCCATTCTCTCCAGGAAAAAAAAAAAAAATCTCCAAAGCCAGTATTATTTGTAGCTGGAACCAGACAGCTTGTTGGTGCTGTTAGACAAGTTAAAATTCAAACATAAAATATGGTCAGCTGAAGACCCTGTGGTCATTTGGGCCTCATATTCAAAGGCTGAGGCCAGGGCAGGTTGCTTCTCCATGAAGCAGAGAGTGGAAATATTTATTCATGGGACTTGGACCATGAATAAACAGGGTCAACGCACATCAAGAAGTCTAGCCCCCCTCTCCTGTGAGCTTGCAAGGTCAGTGAATACAGCAGCCTTCAGGCTCTCCAAGCCCCTTTTGTAGATCTCGGTTCTCCGCTAGCGCTGCACTTTCTTTCCATCCTGAAGGAAAGTCTTGGAGCCTGGCAGGTGGGACCACCCCTAATGTCAATGTTTGAAGGGACCATCCCTCTGTGGTGGTGGCTTTAGATAAATCCCTAAAAGAGTCTGAACTTCAGTACTTCCTGAAGACAACAGGAAGAAAGCTGAGCTTCTTGTTGAGAAACATTTCAGGGAAGATGAAAGGGACCTCAAAATGCTGATTGTCCTTACACTAGTTTTGAGGTGTTCACAGGGATGCTGTAGACCGTGGTCAGCCCCTTGCACGTTCCCTCCATTCCCTGCAACAGCACCCCAGAAAAGGCAGCAGGAGCTATGCAGACACAGTACCTCCAAATTGCCAGGCTTGAAATCCTTCCTTGTGCAAGTGTCACAAATGTCTTCTCCAGCTGAAGGCTGCTCTGTGTTCATCCTGCCTGGTGGCTGCCACTGCGAATTAGGTCAGAGAACGGGGCAGCTCGCTGCCACCGGGCATGGTGCTCACAGAGACCGTGCCCTGGCAATAGCAGGAGGCGAAAGGCAACAGCGGTCCCTGTGCTTTCAACAACCTCCCGATACCCCAAACTTGGTCTTCCAGAGGGACATTGTCAAGGCTGAGGTGTCTCTGTGGAACAAAAAGCAAAAGGGTAATGGGGGTCCTGGGGGCACCTCCTGCCGCTTTTCCCTTGCCTGAGGTGAACACGACCCATCACAGAGATGGGGCTGAACTCCTGAAAGGAGTCACAGCCCTTCCTGCCCTTCCTGCACACTCTCATCCTCTGAATTATTGTCTTATTTTCATTCCACTCCAATGAGCTGTCAGCCACAGATACAGTAATTCAGCACAATAGAAACACAAACAGATGGGTAATTGACCCGCGTGCCTTCATTACACTGGAGTTCAGCACTGCTGTTCAAGCCATAAACTCCTTTATCTGCCACTCTGAAATCCCTGGGCCTTTTACAAGGAAGGCAAAGCGGGCCAGGATTCCTGTGAAAGGCTTGCTCAGAGTTATTGTCATCTCTGCCTTGCGCGCTGCAGATGATGACCGAGTCTGACAAGCAGGACTCACCAGGTAGAAGGAAACAGCTGTGAATCCTCAGGGACAGCTGTAGGGAGCCTGCAGATGGGGGCTGGAGAAGGACAGGGTGGAAAAACACGTACACTGTACACAGGGCAAACACTTAAACTGTTATTGTGTCCTCTGGTACCCGAGCAAGCGTACACCTACACTAATGCCTGCGCAGATGGATGGATACACAAACACTTGCTATGGAGAAAGAGACATGGGGATAGATCTCTGGGCTAATGTAAATCTTCAGAGCACCACCGAAATCATTGGCACTAAATCCATTTGCACTTTTATAGGATTTGGCAAGTAGCCTTCCTAGCAGGGAGTGAGCTGAAAAGACTCAGGTACCCAGCTTCTGTATTTATACTGTGGAGCTGGACACTTAACTCTGCAAGGGTCTTTTACAAATCCCTCCTTGAATTATTTTCCTTTCTTCTGTTTTCCTTTCTTCCTTCTTTCCTCTTTCAGTGTGTAGTTTCCTTGTTTCTGTGATACAAAACCTATTTAGTCTCTCTCAAACCAGGTCAGAACAGCATAATGCTCATCACTTCTGAACTAGCACTCAGTTGCAAAGTATAAAAACCCCACACCTGGGAATAAGGGAGGCTTTGCATTCAGATGCTTTGTACTGTACTGGGATCCAGGAGTAGGATGAAGGGGGTACACTGGGCATTTGGAAAGGGGAAGTTACTTGTCACCCTTCTCTCATAGTGCAGATGGGTTCTGTTCTCAGCTAACTCACTAGTTGCACTGGAGGCATGCAATTCGTACCCTACCTTCCTTACTCATGACAGCTCCAAGAGAAATATCCCAGCAGCTTTTAATTCCTCAGCATCACTTTCCCAAGCTGTTAATGAAACAGGTTTTGAAAAGAAGAACAGATACCTGAAATTACTTTTTTTTTTTTTTTCTTCACATCCCCGCATCTTGTTTCTATGCCAGGTCTCCAGATCATCTTCCCTCAGTATTTACAAGAGAAGTTTGTCCAGTCTGCCTTGAGTTACATCATGTGCAATGGCGAGGGGGAGTACGTCTGCCGGAACAGCCAGTGCGGCTGCCAGTGTGCGGAGGAGTTCCCGCAGTGCAACTGCCCCATCACTGACATCCAGATCATGGAGTACACACTAGCAAATATGGCCAAGACCTGGACAGAAGCCTATAAAGATCTGGAGAATTCAGGTAACCAAGCAAAACATGTTTTCCGATTGATTTATTTCAAACAAAACATCTCAGATTATACCAGCTAAGAATCTTTTCTTCCCTCAATATAATGCTCCAGTTTGGATAAAAAATGGAGGATATTGAACCCCAAACCATGATCTTAGTTTTGAGGGAGTGCCTTTTTCCTCTATTACACGTACAGACAAAAACACACACGACACGTAAGTCTATCTGTAAGGGGACATTTTCCATGGAAGAATTTGTTTGATTAAAAATCTGATTTTTCATACCAAACCAGTTCAGAATCTCTCTTTAATGGTTCTAAAGAGAAACTTCCACAATATGAATGATGCAGAAATTGCTTTTCAGATTTGCATGAATGATTTATTGTGCTTTGGTGAAAGGCAATTCACAGAGAGAGAGCACAGGCCAGATGACACCTCATTTGAGATAGGAGAAGGGAAAATGACTTCTCTCTCCTACAGTGCCAATGTCTGCTGGTGTGAACATTTCTATTCTCCCTCCACTTTGTCCTAGTGTGACACTGGGGGTGTCAGTGGAGTTTGTTCCACGTTGATGCTGGTAACACCCATAGTAGGTGTGTTGTAATACTTACGTGATACGCACTCTCAAGGGCTTGAGATGGGAAAGAGAGCAATAGTATCAATGCAATTACATCCTTTTCCTTTAGCAAATGGTCTGCCTACCCTGAAGCTACATGGGCACTAAGCAGAACTTAACTGAGAACTTATCCCCATGCTGACTCTTATCTTTTAGTGTTAGACAGTTACTTTTCAGCACATTTTCTTTAATGATTATTTGTCATAACTGTCCAGGTCTCCATGTTAGGAAAGAAAACTATAAGGAAGGGACCATCTAGCTCCATTCAAGGCACTGAAGAATTCTTCTTCAGAAGTCTTCCCAGCAGCAATTTCTTTCTTCATGTTGAAGGTCACCTTAATCCCTTTAATGGTTGAAATGAAGCAGCCTATGATGTTTCCTCAATGGGCTGTTGAGGACTGCTTCATACTTCAATATGTGGACCCTGCTGCTGTGTCTGCTGTTGCACAGATTCTTATGTCCAATTCATGCTGTCAACTTGGTGCTCAGCTGAGCAAAGTCAGAGTAGTAGTTAATGGCCCGGCTGATGACTGTCTTGACATGACCCCCCCAATATGCTATTGGGAGCTACAAGGTTGGGGCAGTTCCAGAAGTAGGTCACTAGCTGAAGAGGTCAGTGGTTTTCTGGGAGTTTCTATAGGTTCGTGGATGGGGTGGGTACACCAGGGCAAATCAGAAATATGTATTTCAGAAGCTTCTGCTAGCTCAGTATTACACAAATTAGGATTACTGGCTGTGCCTGCCAGCACAGCTCTGCCACTAGATATGTATTGCTAGTTGCTAGTTCTGGCACAGGATCTTCACACAAGATGCTCAAGAGCCACATGTTGGCCACCACTCATCAAACCCCTTTATGTTCCCAGGGGATCTAACCCAGACACTTAGAAGGTGAGAGCCCTATGGAGAGAGAATAATTACAGTCCCACAGTGATTGTTTTACTGTTACATTCTGTACTTGTTGCAATCGATCTAAGCAAAGACTGTAGTAGATAATGATATTCAGTCTCCCTCCCCTTGAGATTTCAACAGAGGAAGGTGTTTTTCATTTGCCATGTTAAAGTGACACATTGCAGTACAGTTCTCTGCTGGGCTGTAGCCATATTCCACCCAGGGCTGGATTTTTTTCAGGGCTAGATGGAATGATTATCTTTATGTTTAAAGCTGCTGCATCTCATTCATAATTTTGTTGCATCATGCATGAACTTATCCTTTGAGATGAAAGTTGCTATCACAAAAGACTATAGTATTAGTATTTTGCTTCGTTACAATAAATATTCCCGATAACTAGAGGATTTTCTTCATTATGAACAGCAGAAAAGAAATCTCTAATGACATCTGAAGGCTTTTCCAATATGTGGGCTGAAAGGCACATGAGTGCTCTGAAAGCAAATACCATTTGCACGGGAAGCTGCTGATAGCCTAAAAGATCTATATTCTATTTCTGATCTGTGTTGGATTCCTACGTCAATTTGAAAAAATCGTGCGGGGCAAATCAAGAGTTGGTATGATTTGGGATAGCATCTTCAAAGTCAAGGAGGCTGCAGTGAACTGATGCTGCTTTAAATCAGCCCAGGAGCTCTCTTAGTCCTGTGCTTCATTGCTCATGCGTAAATTGAGAAAAATAACACTGCCGCCTTCTTGGCATTTTAGTATGGCTAGCCAAAAAATTCTGCATCAGAACTGTGATTCTGGATTTTAAAGCAGCCTTTTGATTAAAAGTCATAGCGTTGTTATTTTTTCAGTACTATTGCTTTCTGATGAAAATGTGATTTTTTTTTTTTTTAACTGAAAAGACAAGCACTGGAAAAATGAAACTTTCATCTTTGACAGAGATGTTTGACTTGGCCGTTTCACTGTGATGCCACCTTTCTTCTCCAGAGGCTGGACCCTCTGCCCTGTACCACCTGCGATGATGAGTCCTTGCCATGGGACTGCCTGCAGGGACTGGGTGACTCGGCAAAAAGAGGCCATGTTGCATTATGGGAGATGTAGTCCTAGCCATCATCAACATTATCTGTGCAGATAAATTAAAAAAACCAAATGCAGACAGACTTATTTGTTCATTGGAAATTCTCAGGTTTAAAAATGAAGTATACCCAGACAGTTACAGGGCTTAGCACAATGCAGCCATAGTCTTGGTTGGGGCCTCCAGGGATAGTTATAAATAAATATAAATAAATAATGAAGAAACTATTATTTTTGGAAAGTATTTTCTTTTTTCACCCCCCCCCCCCCCTTTTTAAAAACAACCCCATCCAGCTTTTGTTTTGTCAGATTTCTTTTCTCATTTGTTTTTCCCCCAACGTTGCACTGCAGTATCAAAATGTGCACACTGCACTGAAATTTCTCCCTTACCTGTCTCTATGAAAAATGTAGCACATTCATCATCAGAGGGAAAAGAGCTTGGTCTTTTGCACAAACAGGCTTTTGAGGAAATTGATTTATAAGGGGCGGGAAGCAAATGCAAGGCTTTTACTGCTGAAAGGTACCAGGAGTAATCAGCATGGTCAACAGAAGCAATTATACATGATGATAGTTTCAGAGGACCACTGAACAGGAGAGAATCATTTTTGGGGAGGAGAAGGGCACTGAAAGCAGCATTACAAATAGAATGAAAACCTGAGAGATGATTACAAAAAAAATCTCAGTTACCTTTGGGGAAGAAAGGAGATAAGCAGATGTCCCGTGGATCTTGATAGTGCAATGATGATAATTATTTTTATTAGGTGCTCGGTTTCACCATGTGACGAGTAGGACATGAACATCCATTTACCATCTATGTAATGATGGTACTGACTAATGCCTTGATATTCTTTGTTAGGCAGTTAAGCATGAACTACAAGTTGCTGAATAATAGGAAAACTGTTAGGCAAATATATACAAACTTTGTGCGATAGCTTGTAAATTATCTAGTCTGATTTTCTCCAATAATTCTATGGATTATTTCTTTTTTTAAAAAGATACCGGCCTTTACAAGCTTTCATTTTTTGCCCTTTTTTTGGTGATTGTCCTCTTTTCCTTCTGAAAATTGGATGAAGGAATTTAAAAAAAAAGGTTAGGAAAGGAAGAAAAATAATGTAGAGAACTTACAGGAAAAGATGGCTGCATTTCTTCTTGGATACTTTGTGGGGTTTATGGCAGGGAAGCAGGACTATCACCAGCACTAGATCAGGTCAGCCATGGTTTTGTCTAGCAGAGTCTAAAATGAGAGATTCTTCCACATCTCCGGGCAGCATGTTCCAGTGCTGCATTACCTCCAAGTGAAGAAGTTTTTTAATAAATCACTTGAACTTCTTAAGCTGCAAACTGTCTATTACTCCTTGTTATATCATCTGTCTCTAATAAGAAGCGTTTCTCTCCTTCATATTTGTAAGTACCTCTTAAACAGTTGTAGGCTGTAATTAGATTGCCCCTTGGCCTCTTCTTCACCAGATTAAAGAAGTGCAGCTCCCTCCACCTGACCTTGTAGGACTTGTGCTCCAGGCCCTTGACCATCTCAGTAGCCCCCAGCTGTGCCCTCTCCAGTTTCTCAACACCCATCTTTAACTGGGTGTCCCTAAAGCTGGCAGAGAAATGCAGATGCAGCTTCAGTGATGCCAAGAAGAGGGAATCTTAACTTCCCCAACCTGCTGGATTTAGCCCAGTACGCAGTTCGTGTTATTTCCAGTGAGAACATAGTGTTGACCCACCTTCAGCATGGTGCCCACCACAACCCCCAGGACCTTTCTAGCAGCTGTTATTCAACCACTTGTTTCTGAGCCTGTACTGATGCGTGGGGTTGTTCTCTCCTGGTGCAGAACTTTGTTCTTTATTGTACTTTCTAGGGGTTTTTTTGCTGGACAACTTCTCGTGTTTCTCAAGATCTCAGTGTGTCAAACAGTTTTCTGGTATCAAAAACTGGGGTATTTTCTACTGAGAAAGTTGGAACCATCTGTCTTTTCCATATGAGGATATCCCAGTCTGGTAATCAGAGTCTAAGCAAACTATACTTCTCAGTTAGGAAGAAAGAGGTGGACATAAGCAGAAACAGTATCAGATTTTCTGTTTTGTGATGAAAAAACCTCAAACAAACTCTATATAATGTTTTTTTCATTATCAAACAAAACCAAACAGAAATAAAGTCATCACAAAACAACATTTAACAACATATTTTTGGATCAATTAGATTTTTCCTTTGGCTAAAATCGACACATTTTGTTCTGACCTTAGCCCTGCAAACTATTTTATTTTATTTTCAACGTTACATAAAGCAACTCATTTAACTTCAAATGAAGTTAAATGAGAAAAAAGAATCAGAATGCTCTTTTTAAAAAATGAGAAAGAAGGACATTTCAACACAATCAAAACCCTTCCTCTGGGGATTTTTTTAAAGCTTTTTTTTCTCTTTTTTTTTTAACACCACAAAGTGATTTGACTGGAACAACAAATGGCATTTTAGGAGCAGCTGAAAAACAATTTAAATGAGAACTCTTTAACTGACAATGATTACAACTCCCCGCTTTTTGTTCATAGCCCCTAGACTATAATCCCATACTCCAGGGAATTTGCTCTCTTTTTTTTCTTCACCCTGTACACATTAACCGTATTGTTTCACCCTAATACTCTCTGAGTTTCATTTCCCATACGGGAGCGGCATCAGCCATGGAATTAGTGGGCTTCCTGGGGCAGAAAGACGGACCAGTGAGTTAATGGACATCACCTTCCTTTAGCAGAGCACTGATGGCCTCATACATCATTGCCGTTTCTCCATCCTGCTAATGAAAAGCTTTGTAACTTTGTTGTAGTTCGGAAACCTCCGTATTTCTCCACGTTTTTATGTGTTCCAGATGAGTTTAAATCCTTCATGAAAAGGCTACCTAGCAACCACTTCCTGACCATTGGGAGCATCCACCAGCACTGGGGGAATGACTGGGATCTGCAGAACCGCTACAAGCTGCTGCAGAGCTCCCTGGAAGCCCAGCGCCAGAAGATCCAGCGCACTGCCCGCAAACTCTTTGGCCTCAGTGTCCGGTGTCGGCACAATCCTAACCACCAGCTGCCTAGAGAAAGGTACCTTCATCCTTCATCGAGGATGGGTGTGATGTGATGGGTGACTGATGGAGCTGAGCCTGGGCTTGGACCTAAACCCCACAGCCAAAGTGTTTGGATATAGGGTGTGCTAACATGGAGATATGGGGGAATAATGGTAAAGTCTGGGAGTGGGCTAAAATTTCTGGAGGTGTAAGAAACCTTTTGTCACATATCTAAACATATTCACATCCCTCCTGTGTGGTCTTACCTACCCAGGTGAAGGGCACCCACTTATTCTGTAGTGTTCCGCAAGAATATTGCAGGGCTGACATCAGACAGCCAAGCAGACTAAGCTGCTTTTTAAACAGTTTTCCCTCATGTACCACAGCCAAGCTTTAAGCCTCCATTTGCTGTTAAAGTGGACATATGGAGCACAAGATGCTTCAGCCCATTTTTGAGTTGTGCTCCTCAATGAGTATAGGGAGAGTGAAAGGGAAGCTTTACTTTCCCTTGGAATAGATCACATCTCTTCTACAAAATGCAGAGTGAACGTGCAAACCTGCACTGACCAGAAGCCTACCGATGTTACTACAGATGGAGAGAGTAGATTTTCCATTACAGCTACAGCAGCTATTGATATCCAATAGTCACCTCCTGCTGGCTCCTTTCAGCCCTGACCTATGACTGAGTTTAAGATTGCCTCCAATAATTTTTGGAGGCTTGCATCCATGGATTTTTATAAATATCTCTTGCTGTTTCTTTCTACATTGCCCGAAGTGAAGTTAATACTGAAAATCTTAGAAGAAATGAGTCGAAGTGCCTTTTCTTCCATGCTTCTCTTGGAAGAGTCAGGCCAAGTTAACATTTGTAGAGGAACTGTTTTTTCACCTCCTTCTTTACCTAAATATTCAGTCTCAAGAGAAAATTAACTGATTGAGTGCTGTGTCCTGTTATTACCCAGCCCTCTGGCCGCTAAACACACTGAGTTTTCATTTCATCACTGTGCAGCTCAGGAAACTCTTCCAGGGCTTAACATCTCTTTAATTACCAAGAAATCTCATGTTTCTGGACAAAGACTTGATGGACTTACTAGGGATGAGGAGAAACATTTATTAAGTTTAAGAGATTATGAAAAAAGTCTTTGGAGAACTTCCTAAAATTGGCCCATTCCTGCCAACTGGCTGAGCTGCTATAAACAAGCCAACTGGTAGAGGAGTCACAAGCATGTCCAGGCATTATTTCCAGTTGTGCCACAACAACAACAAAATGAAGCAGCAGCGAGCAAATATCCAGCCAACCATGTTGCTGCATTCAGATAAATATGTCTTTAACATTTCTATTTTAAAAAGTCAGCCACGCAGAAAGGGAGCCTCCAACTAATACTATAAAATCTGAGGGAAGGAGGACGAAATGGATGATGACAGCTGGATTTTCAAGTGACTGATGTGCTTGATTTGTTTAAGTCAACACCACAAAGCATATTATCATTCCTTTTCTTATTTGTCATTCTGCATTTGTAGCTAGGCCGGGGAGGGGCTCGGTAGACAGATGTGTAGTGGAAGAGGTATGCATTTCATCGTTCTTTTCACAGGGCTTGGAAATACTCTAATTTTCTAATTGCTACTGTACAGAACGACAGACACTTATCAAGCATACCAGTGGCTTTGAAAAGATGGAAAGGTTCTATTAAGAGCAAGCCTCTCTCTCTCTTTAATACAGATAATAGTGAGCCTACTTTATATATTCAAAAGCAATGTAAAAAAGAAATAGGATTGCTGTTGATTGTCCTCAGGGAAAGGAAGACATGGCGTTTCCAAAAGAAAGAAAGAGTAGAGATTTTGGCAGTTAGGCTGATTCTCCATGACCTTTTGCAATAGCTAAGAAGGAAATATATATATATATATATATATTTGCTCTGCACTGCTTTTGCTTAAAAAACATCTCTTTGCAGGCAAGTTTGTTGGTTTAAAAAAGAAACCACTCCTCAGCTGTTAAAGCTTCAATGTTGAATGAGTACCTATAGTTGCATTTTTAAACTCTGGATGTAAAATATAAATAACATCCAAAGGAGGGGGGGTGGTTGATACATGTTCTGGGCTCCAGCCAAATTGTCATTAGTTAAGAATACATCTCACAGCTGCTGAGAATAAAAATAGCATTTTTTACTTCACTGTTCCATACAGAAAGCTCCAAAGTACCTCCACAGTAGCTAGTGCTGGTTGGAAAGTGAAAGGTGAATATGCAATGGAAAACTTGTTAAATCCCTACCTTTTTTCTTGCAATTAAAAAAAAAAAAGAATCTGTCCTGCTGGATCAGGTTTTTGATTTTTTTTGGGGGGGTGGGTGGGTTTGTTTATTTGTTTATTTTTTGTTTTGGTATGGTTTGGTTTTCTAATCAGCTTAGACACCATCTACAATAAAGCTGCATCTTTGTCTCAAGGGACACCCATCAGCTTCTTCCCCTCCCCAGACCTGATTAATCCTGAAGGATGACGAGTCAGGAGGAGAGAAAATTATTCATCACCTTTCTGTATAACCTGACCTCTGCTTCTGATCTGAAAGCCCAACGCTGTCCTGCAAAACATTTTTTTTGTCACAACAGATAGGTTTTAAATGGTGAAACAGCTCTGCATGATTACCTGGCTCCCAGTTCCCAGCACTGCCAGGGAACTTGCATGTCTCCGGTGAGCAACAGCAAGAAAACACTGTGAAACAACTCTCATTCATAGCTTTGCCTGGATGTAATTTTTTTTTATTTTAGTTTTGGAATGCAAGATATTAAAGTTGAATGTAAAATTGCTTGATAGTGACCTTTGAAGACATAGTTTTCCTTTTTTTAATTTTACATGCTCTAGTACTTTATACTTTGAACTGGCAGAGGTAGCAAACATTAGGCAAGATAACTTTTGCTATGATATTAAGAGGAAGAAAGATAAACTGATGACTCCTTAATAAAGATAAAATAATTAAAATGAAAACCAATGGCTACTCTGCTACTGGCTTTCAGCTCTTAAACAGTGGCTCTTTTCAGCTTCCTTCTGCCCTGACATCTCTTGGTCATATTCACATGAGTCTGAGCCATCATAGGTGTGTGTTTTAAGAAGTTACCTCCTGTCAGCTGAAGGGCTGTGACTGGTCCTGCATAAATTCTTATCCTGTCCCAGTTGCAAGACAAAATGGGGTTATTTATACCACTTTTCCTCTCTCACACTCTATCAGACTTCCCATTGTCATGTTTGTAGCCGATGCCCAGCTCTGCCCTGGGTTCTGCATTTTCATTTAATTATGTCCTTTATTGCTGCCATCAGCAGATGGTAGGTAGCCGCCGCCTTTTTTTTTTTTTTTTGTCCTACTTGTGTCTTTGCTGAATGCTAAGACATATACCCCCCCCCCCCCCCCAAAAAAAAACAACCCTCTTTCTCCCATTCTCCTCCACTTCTTCCTCCACAAAATTGATCAGGAACGGAAGGATAGCTTTTTTTTTTCCCCCCTAAGACAGAACACACCTAACACAGGCAGGGTATGGTCATCTTACTCTAACTGTTATTGTGTCCCCTGCTGTATAGCCTGACAGTCCTTGTCCTGTGAACTCAATGGCATTATCAACATGTAAAACCTGTGTAAAGCATCAAGCCAGCACTGCAGAAATAAACAGGGAATCCTGTGCACTCACCAGTGCACGAGGAAATCAGGAGAGTCGCGGTCACTTGCACAGAGCTGGAATTGAAATCTATGCACAGGAGTTGTTCAGCGTGTGTTTGGCTGTCGTTTGCCTATGCAGCTGTATGAGGCTATTGGCAGCTGTACGAAAATGGCAGCAGTATGTGCACAGAGGCACACCTCCGACAGTGCCGAATACCTCATCAAACCCACCTCAGAAACCACCTTTAGTCCTATAAGCAACCATTACTACCTCACCTGGAAGCCCAGTCTACACAAAAAGCAACAAATGTGACCATGGAGAGAGCTGTGGAAATCAGGGAATTACTGTCCTCACCTCACGGACAGGGGCAGGGATGCTGAGAGGGTACATGATGGAGCTGGACATTTACCATCTGTCTGCCACCAGCCTGCTGCCGCCGCTTTTCATTTTCTTTGTGCTTCTGGGCTTCTCCTTGTCCTTGTCTTGGTAGAAGTTACAGTGGGAGTGGGAGCTAGGGATGAAGCTTGGGGCTGCAGGAGATTTCCCTTCAAAGCAACCTCTGATTTTCATTGTTGTCATCAAGCCCAATCATGGGAAGAGGCAGCATGCAGGAACCTTGTGCTTCCCCCAAACCAGGGAACCCAGGTAGGCAGTGTGTGTCTATTGGAGGGTTGCTTTGGTTTTAGTTCATCATCTACTTGGTATTCCTCAGCTTCATGCTTAGATTAGTGGTTAGAAGCAAAGAAAGAAGCTTTCGAGGAGGTGCATCAAGAATCAAGGTGGGTTCACAGCGCCTTAGGAAGATTAAAACTTGGAATCTGGGTGCCTTGCTAAATTCAAGTGCATTCAGCTGGCTTTCCAAATAGGAACTGCAAGGCTTCAGATGGGGTAGAAAAATATTTGTATTGCTGAAATTGAGCAAAAATTCACCTATGAGCAGAAGGCAGACTCAGCCCCCAGGGGATGGTTTTGAGAGTGCTTGTTGCTGTCAGCAACGTGTTTTGCAGTCACACTGTGCTGAGCTGTCCTAGAAACCAGGAGGAGTCCTTTGCACTTTCTAGGCACCAGGGCTGTCACCGTCTCCCTCTATGGCAGATATTTACAGAGGTCACTGCCTTGCTCCCCAGCCAACCTTGTCTTTTCCACTAGCAGGTGAGCTCCTGTTAGCTGTGAATAGGGGAAAGAGACCCTGGCAGCCCTGTACCACAGGAGGAATGTGAAAATTCTCTTCCCACATCCAAGGCTTGAGAATTTTCCTGCTAATGCACTTCCTTTTTTCTCACTCTGTCTCATTTTTTTTCCTTTCACTCAGTTTCTTCCTGCTTCTTTTCATCCCTGCCTGTCCTATGTCTTTCAGTTGTTGCTGTTGTTTCAGTTTTCCCTTTTCTCCATTCCTATTCCTCCTGCCCACTGCATTTCTTTCTTATTTTTCCTTTTACCTGTGTATTTTCCCCCTCTTTCTTCCTCTACCCTTTCTGCTTCTGCTCCTTGATTATTTCTTTCCTTCCAGTGCTTTCCTCTGTTTTATACTCTCATCCCTCCACTTGCTCCCTCCCCCTAATCATCTTGCTGTTCTTTGCTGCTGTATCATTTAATGCCTTCTTTGATACAGCCTACAGCTTAATGATTATTCGGAGGTCAGGCGATGCAGGTGCCATGAATTTCACTAATCCAGCTCTGAGAGCCTCTGTCCATAATCACTCCTCCCGTTCTACAGGGACTGAATCCTAATTTGTCATTAGCCAGTCCTCTCACTGCAGCGCTACCAAGAACTTTTTGCCCAGAGGAGACAATGAAGTATTCATTAGCTGGGGGCGAAGGCAGAGGGGAGGGAGCAGGCGTCTGAACAAGGCATTCTGCTGAAGGCTGCTGAGAAAGGAGTCGCTGTGCTGAGATTTCCCGGGGTGGTGGGGAGGGGGGAGAAGGGGGCAGCAAGGCAACATCGCAAGTGGGTTATACAAAAAGCAAGCGTGAGTTGCAGTTTCATTCATTAGGAGTCATTCCAGGGCTGCAGGATGTGGAGGTGAGGGTGCTGATATAGCAATTATGGGAGTGGTGGGCCCTGAGAATGGGCGAGTGTGGCTGCTTGTTAAGGGGAGAGGCAATAAGATGAGGTTAATTAGCAGCAGATTTTTTTAAAGGAGAAGCTGTTCTAGCAGCTTTGTCTCTATGCACCCTGACTTCCACCCTCTTTTCTGCTGTTACTGAGCTCTGCACTATAAGCAAAGGTTACTACCAGCTTTGCCTCATCCCATTACTGGTCTGTTTTTGGAGTGGGGAGAATTGCCAATGACATGGAGAGGAGTTTTCTCCTGCTAGCCTAGGAGTTACGCTGATCTACAATGTCTGATAGCACCTCAGCCTCTGGCATGGCTTTATCAGCTCCGTTCCCATGGTTGAATGTTGTCACTGTGGCACTGATGGGATCCTTGGCAGGAGACTGTGTCAGTCTCAGCTCCTAGAGCAGTGTGAAGAGAGAGACTTCAGATGATCAATTCTAACTTCTAGCTATTTCTTACAGGGCTTTTGCTCTCCACCAAAGGAGTACACAGCAGATGAAAGATTCAGTCTAGAAATAGACTGGAATAGCTCCCAGATGCCACGGCAGGGCATCAATGTTCTGAGAGCTCTGCCTCAGATATGTGCCTGAAAACACTGTGGCTCTAGTAAGATGCTAACAACAAAGACTCTGTGAGGCTCTACAATGCTAATGCTTTCTTCTTCCTACCTGCAGGACAATACAGGAATGGCTTACTCGGGTCCAGTCCCTGCTCTACTGCAACGAGAATGGGTTCTGGGGGACCTTTCTGGAAAGCCAACGGAGCTGCGTTTGCCATGGTGGCACCAGCCTGTGCCAGCGCCCCATCCCCTGCATCATTGGGGGCAACAACAGCTGTGCCATGTGCAGCCTTGCCAACATCTCTCTCTGCGGCTCATGCAACAAGGGCTATAAGCTTTACCGGGGTCGCTGCGAGCCTCAGAACGTAGACTCGGAGCGGAGTGAGCAGTTCATCAGCTTTGAGACAGACTTGGACTTCCAAGACCTAGAGCTGAAGTACCTGCTGCAGAAAATGGACTCTCGCCTGTACGTGCACACCACTTTCATCAGCAATGAGATCCGCCTGGACACCTTCTTCGACCCCAGGTGGCGCAAACGCATGTCCCTGACCTTGAAGAGCAACAAGAACCGGATGGACTTCATCCACATGGTGATCGGGATCTCCATGCGAATCTGCCAGATGCGCAACAGCAGCCTGGACCCCATGTTCTTTGTCTACGTCAACCCGTTCAGCGGGAGTCACTCTGAGGGCTGGAACATGCCCTTTGGGGAGTACGGCTACCCACGCTGGGAGAAAATCCGCCTCCAAAACAGCCAGTGCTACAACTGGACCCTGCTACTGGGCAACCGGTGGAAAACCTTTTTTGAGACTGTCCACATCTACCTACGCAGCCGGACTCGGCTGCCCTCCCTACTGCGTAACGAGACTGGCCAAGGGCCCGTGGACCTTTCTGACCCCACCAAGCGTCAGTTCTACATCAAGATCTCGGATGTGCAGGTGTATGGCTACAGCCTGCGTTTTAATGCTGACCTACTGCGCAGTGCTGTGCAGCAGGTCAACCAGTCGTACACGCAAGGTGGGCAGTTCTATTCTTCCTCCTCTGTCATGCTCTTGCTGCTGGATATTCGGGACCGAATCAATAGACTGGCGCCTCCCGTGGCCCCAGGGAAGCCCCAGCTGGATCTGTTCTCTTGTATGCTCAAGCACCGCCTGAAACTCACCAACAGCGAGATTATCCGTGTGAACCATGCTCTAGACCTGTACAACACCGAGATCCTCAAACAGTCGGACCAGATGACAGCCAAACTCTGCTAACCCGGACTTTTCAGTGGACATGTTGGTGATTGATCCTTTTGCTGTAAAAAAATAAAAGAGAAAAAAAAATAGAAAAAAGTAAAAAGAAAGAAAGAAAAGTGGGGGTAAAGTAAAGAAAGGGGAGAAAACCAAGATTTGTAAAATGTAATTAATATACAAAAGAGAAAAAAAAGAGGAAATTCTTCATTTGTTGAAAACTAAACCCGTTCTAGCAGCTGTATAAAACTGTCAGGCATGTTTGTTATTTCTATAATCCGTCATAAAAGGGTAACACCTTACTCTCTCTTGACCTTGAGGGTGTTGCTTGCTAGTCCTCAGGGGCAGCAGAGTAAATAAAGGGAGGAGCAGAGAGCGGGGCAAACTTCTGTAACGAACTGTAAAGTTTTCTGCTATGCAGGTGCCAAGACAAAGAGACAAAAAAAATCAAAACAAACAAACAAGAGTTATATGTAAATGTAAAAGAACTGCCATTATTCCTATAGTGGGAGTAAATGGTTAAACATAAAAGATATTTCTTCTGTTGAGATTTATGCCAGCTTTATGTTGAGTTATTCACACAGCCTATGCTGAGCTTTGCTGGAGGACAGAAGGTGATGGCAGTCCTTTGAGAGTAAAACTAATGCCTCGTTGGTGAGAAGGCACCTAAGAGGTGGAGGGTGGGTGTAGTTCTCAGGTGTCTTCACTTTGGGATTTCCATCTTGGAAGAGTTTTCACCAGAGGTAGAGTCTCAGCACTTGCTGAAGAATGGGATGTGTCAGGTCCCTTTGTTGAACTGGAGTTCGTGCCCTGTATCATACTGCTGTTGCCTTCAGTGATGCCAGAGCTTAACCCCTTGAGGATCAGCACCTGTAAATCTTCAGAGTCACTCATCTTTAAGGTACTTCAACAGAGTCCCTATAACAGAGAAAACCAAAATCATATGCCACTTTGATAAACCTAGACTTAAAGGCAAACCTGAGTTTGGCTTTTTGCCTCGGGCTCTGGGTTTTCCAATGACAGTGGGAAACTCTCATCACAACAAAAACCAAAGCACAATGCAAGAAAACACATTACCAAGGAAACCTGGAGACACTGAAGGGTACACATGTAATTTTAGTTCTTTGGGGAAGCAAAAATCCCTTTTACGTTCTTATGTTTCCATGGCTATGAAAAACATCCTGGTTTCACTTACACTTTCTTTGTCCACAAAAAAATTTCACAGAAAACAGATGAGAAAATGTTATTAAAATATCTGCAAAAAGTAGTGAAAGGGAGGGGTGGGAGGGAAGAGAACAATAACCAAATATACCCTGAATTTGCAAGGATAAAGCCAAATTAAAAAGGGTTGAGTTGTCAAAAAATAACTAAAATAACTAAAAGGTGGGTAAAATTTTGTGGAGTGTGTGTTCATGTGTGTTTGGATTTAAAAAAAAAAATTGAATGGAGCGTATGAATGTAGAATTCAACTGAGCTGAGTGATGAAGCCTCAACATGGTGGGAGGTGAGTAGTGGGGTGTTCCTCTTAATCTCACTGGGTTTTAGTTAAAGTTGATTGTGAGAAGGTCTAGTGAGAGACTAGAATTTCAGCCCTCCTAGAAGGGAGAAATAAATCTTTGATCCTGTTGGCACCTAGAGCTGGAGAAGTATCCTGGCGAAAACCAGGTCTGAGCAGGAGGGACAGTCCTGATCCAAAGTTCAAGATTCAGATCTGGCTTGAGATTTAATGTATTGATTCAATTGAGTTCAAAATAGTCTTGTAGAAATTTTTACCTTCTTATTTGGAGACTTTGGCTCAGATGCTGAGAATAACATAAATTCTTCTGGACAGAGCTAAATGCATTGTGGTGTTACTCATGTGACACCAGGGACTTAGACAATTAAGTTTGGCTTCAGGTTTAGTTTAATTTGTGTGGGTTTGGTTGATACTCATCCAAACTGAGAAGGAGTTAGATACTTTAAGGTAAATATACGTTCACTGCACTCTCCTGCTGAACTAGCAATTGAGGGCATAAGAGAAACTGTCTGGGTAGTTAGTAAGAAAACAAAAAGGAGTCCTAGTCACAAAAGCACACATTGGTCCCTGTCTGTCTACCAAAAGGTGGGGAAGTGCACGCATCTGAAGAATAGCTGGGTGAATTAAACAACAAAGATGTTTCTAGGGACATCCATCGATTTCTGTCGGTAGCAACTTCATTTTTCCCCTAACTCCTATTGAGATCTCTTTCTATCTCTACTGGTCAGTCCATGCAAGAGGTTACAAGGTTGCCTACTTTTCCCAGTTTGTTCATTTGTTAGTTTTTCATTTGATTGGTCTTTGCTTTGTGTAGTAGAGGTTCATGCTTATAGATCCCACCATTCAAAGAGGTTTCTTTATAGTTGTGACATGCCTGCATCAGCTTTCTGATAAGAGAAAATTCACTAGAAATAGTATGCATGGAAGTTAGTTTTAAGCAAATAGTAGAGAGTATTCATGGGAAATGAATGTCAAATTTGTAATTATGAGTGGAAATAATGTTCCTGACAGTTACATCCATCCAAGCAGGGAATAGAAATGTACTGTTTAATTTACATGTATGACCCAAAGAGCTGACATTGAAGAGAACTATAGTTATTGCTCTGAAAATACTGAATACTGCTTATGAGCAACCTATAGCCTGAGATGCAGTCTGCATTCAGTGATGGGATTTGTTCATGGCTGGGAATAGTGAACGTGCTAACACAAAGTGATATTAGTTTGTTAAATTGCTTTCCTATGAGATAAGTATCCAGCTCTAGTGACTAGAAGCCAGAGAAGTTGCAATTAAGTCTCAGATCTCGTGGGTAACTAGCAACACATTAGCTAAATCTTGCCTCTATTGGTGGGACTGTTAGGGGTCAAATCAATTGCTTTTATGTATCTTTAATGATGCCTTGGGATGATCAACCCCCAGTTATACTGAGCTTCAGCAAGGGGAGCAACACCGCAAACCTTAAGCAAGACATTGGGTGCCAACAGAACATTAAATCACTGCTGTCCAGTTCAGACCCAAGCAATGGTAGACAGCCATGGAGTTAGAGACACATTGTCTAACATGAGCTAGCATTTCCACCATGGCTGGGAGCAGTGAAACTGGAGCATAGAAAACCAGGGTAGGGAGATGGAAGGAAGTTTGGCATAGATATGCTGTCGGCACATGGAACTTACCTTGGGACTACCTGATGGTGCAACATGACACCAAGGTATGATGGCACATCAACACAACAATCTGGAGCTATGTTGCAACATGGCTAGATGAAATTTTGGGATGGAATGAAGCCAAAAAAACAAGAATAAATTCTGTTGTCCTTCAGGGTAGGGAAAAATGAAGCTATCTGGCAGCTCAGCCACCATTCTGGGCTCAAAGTTTATAACAGAGACAAAAAGGAAAAACAAACCCTAAACCCCAATCAAATGTGGCCTGGACCATGCTACACTCTGCTTTTGATGCTAGAAGAGAAACATCTGCCACAAACAGGGCACAAGCTCTACTTCCACTGCTCAGTCCCATAAGCACTTCCCCAGGTAGGAGGACAGCCTGTGACAGCCAGATCCAGAACCAGATCCCACAGGTTTGTTTTAGGGTATTTGTTCTGCAGGCAATAGAAGATGTGGAGGCATCTGGCATACTTCTGTCTCAATAAGAAAAAGTAGTTCAGACTCCCCTAGCGAGGCCACACCAGTGCTACAGAGGTATTAATGGGCTTCTGAGGAAATTATATCCAAGTCCTCCACTTGGTCAGAAAAGTAAGTTTTACAAGACAATGACTGGAATGGAGGGTAATTAAGAGAGGAGAATTAGATGGAGCCCAGAGAATTCTTTCACCCATAAAACTAGATTCACTAAACTGCATGATCAGTAGGTATTGTTATAGAGTTTAATGATAAAAGGGACCTTCATACTTTGAAATATGAGTAACCATCCTCTGACTGTATGAGAATGAAACTCAGCTTCCCTCCCCTGTACAAGAAGGAGTTAGGGAGCAATCCATAAGATTGTCCAGCTCAGCTAATGCAGAGATGGTCCTACCAAATCATGGCAGATACTTGTCCCTTGTTGCAATTAAATTAGGGACTACATGAAATCTGGAGCTTCCAAAAAAAAGAACCAACCAAGAGAAAAAAAGAAAAGCCAGATGCCAGCTGTCCCAAAGGCAAAGCATGGCAAAAAGCAGCAGGTGGAGAAGAATTTACCTGCTGCTTCCCTTCAAATGCAGAAAGCTTCTGGGATCAGTTGCTTCAAGTCACATGAGGGAATGCACTGGGACCTTAGTAAGAAATATGCTTTTTTTAAGTTATTCAAATTTAGACCTAACCAGCCGATGTGGCAGAAAGCAAAGGACGTCAGCAAGTCTTATTAATATGCTGATGCTATGGCTTCAGAAGTGTACAGAATGCCCATTTGGATCAGGGCTAAGAGCACAGCATGGAGTTGCCATGGAAACGTGGGGAGGCCATTAATTAGCTATCACATGAAATCATCAGGAAGAATCTGGACCTCAGCAGCTTTGCCTTCCTCAGAGGCAAAGGGCACAGCCCCAGTGACCCCGCAGTCAGACCTAGTGACCCCTCCACAGCTCCAAAAACAACCACCATCCTGGAGCAGAAATGTCTTCTTGGAGGCATGAGAAGTGGGTAGACAAGTAAAGGGGAGGAGGCAACAAGAGCAGAAGGCAGGGAAGTAAATAAAGGGTGGAGACGATTTCCCTACTTACTTATTTCCCTCTTCGCAGGAAGCCTGTTTGCTGCTGCACAAAAGAGCACAAGAGATCTGTTGGTTTTTGAGCTGGTGGGACTTCTGCCAGTGACCTCAAAGAAATCAAGACTGGCCACAAGGCCCTGGCAGACTCAGTTAAAGGATTTAGCATCTTTCTGGGTGAGCTGCACCTGGGATGAGTGAATGCCAGTGCTCCCTGGTGCCATCCTGCTCCCCAGATCCATCTCTGGCCATGCTAAGCCAGGAATCCCTTTCCCCAAAGGGAAACATGGGCAAGTAAGGGAGGCTTGTTGGCCACTTGCCCAGCCTCCCTCCAGAGCCAGGATCCACCTCCAGCCCAGGCTATGTGCGTATGTTCTTGTGACAGCTGTGATGGACTTCAGCTGCCACGTACAGGATGTTCTTTTTAGCCCACTTGCTAAAACACCACTCAGGAGGACATTTGGCAGATGGCATCTCCTGCACCAGGGTGTAGCAAGATCCCCAGCCTGGCTGCTCAGTTCCCAGTGCTGGAGGAGAAATGCGGAGTGGCAATCCAAACTGTGTGCTCCTGTCTCCAACTA